CTTTTCTCCTCGGATGTGTATATGAACTTCCTCCTCGGATATAGTTGGTGGAGCTCCATGAACGCAGACGTATGACAAAGTTTCAAAGTAGAATCTTGACCAGCTCAGATTTGGTTCTGCTGCGCCAATCAATTTTGTCCCTGGAATCAAAGTTGTTTTCGAGTCTAGAAGCAACTATTCTTCGTCATTCCCAAAACCGCAACAATAATGCATCCCTCATCAACTCGTCCCAGCCTCGATGAAGATTCAATTTCTGCAATTCTGAGAAATGATGCGGAACAAATCGATCGATCTTCCATCCATGGATTTCAAAACGGTCACCGGAAAGCACAAGAATCTCCTCGACCCACCAATTTGATAACTATAAATCTAAATATTTCTTATCAAAAATCCGATTACAAAACAACAGAGTATCTCTACTTGTACAAACCTCCTAATCTTCACTAGAAGACTCTTCTCTTCTTCTAAAATTAGCTCCCATGGGCTTATCAGCATCACGCGAGTAGAAACAGCCATGATATCAAATGCAATGCCGGCCTTGGGGTGATGAAATCTTCAGCAAAATTTGTCCCATGTTTGAATTTGAATTTCTGTTTTCGTTTTGTGCTCAAATCATTCTGATAGAAACAGAAAATTCAAGTGAAAACAATAGATTTTTTTTGTTTGTGTGCAAAATGAGTCAGAACAATAGATAGATCTCGAAATCAAAAGAAAAGATCAGAGCTCGATCGATGAAGATGATTTGTTGATATCTTCGAATCAAGTCGAAGAAGATGAAAAATTCAATCAGATTTGAGGAAACAAACGGAGGAAGATCATCTGAGCAAACAAATATGAAATACAGAAAATAGTAGTACTCCGTAATAGATTTTCATTTTCTTGAAATACTAAATCAAATGCAATAACCAAAATAAACCACAAAATAACTAAACCAAACTATATTAACCAAACCAAAAGAATTTCATAAATTATTCTATTTACTTTGTCATACATACATCTGAATTTTGTTAAGTACTAAAAAGTATAAGCTAGTTTACTTTCCCAATTGTCTCATATACAGTTAAACCTCTATAAATTAATACTCGATAAATTAATAAACAATATAAAATAATAAATTTTGTTGGTCTCAAATCGGGCCAGTGTAAGAAATTAACGAAATTCGTAGAGAGAGACTCATGCTCCTAGTTATCTTTCACAGTATCATAGCTCTCTTTATTACAAAACAAAAAAAAAAAAAAAAAAAAAAAAAAAGCCTTCTCCTTCTCTTCATGGTACTGCTCATCTTCTCTCTGCTTATTTATCTTACGATAAACTCTTTCATAAATATCGTCTGTTCTGTTTGGCCATTCTTGCTGAGAAAGAACCAACTCACATAAAGAGATAGTCTTGTTGCGACATTGGCTTGATGCAATTAACATGGAATTGGATGCTCTTGTGAGTACATCTACTTGGAGAAGTTTCTCTTTGCCTGATGGAAAACATGCGTTGGATGTAAATAAATGTATAGATCAAGTATAAGTCTGATGGGTTTATTGAGCGATACAAGGCTCGCTTCGTTGCAAAAGGTTATACACAACAAGAAGGAGTTGATTGTCTTGATATTTTTGTCATGTGGCTAAGCTCACTTCCGTAAGGTTAATGCTTGTTTTACCTACTATTCATAATTGGATGTCACCAATGCATTTCCCCATGGTGATATGGATGAGGAGGTCTTTATGCATTTACCACAAGGATATACTCCAAGACATTGGATATTTTACCATGAAAACATGTGTGTCGACTCATCAAGTCTGATATGAGTCAAATTACCCTATTGACTACTCTCTCAAATGAAGTTTTCTGGGGTGATTCTGCAAATCTTCAAAGATACGTGAAATTAATTTGCCGTCAGATATCGGTGTCGACCGATAACAGGGGTGTATCGATCGACACCCAGTCAAATTTTGATCTCTGCATTGCTCTTGTAGCATAATTTCTTGGTTTTGCTCCATAATGAACCACAATCTCCAAATTGGTCTCGTACGTGCATTAACCTTGAAAGACTAGAAAATACTCTAGAAATAACAAAAAGACTCTAAAAACAATACATATATCATGGTTAAAAACCGTAAAAACCATGATATATCAAAGTCTCTTTATGGCCTTGAACAAGGTTCATGCAAATGGTTTTAAGTTCTCTCGTGTTCTCTTACAGAATGGGTTTATTCAGTCGCCTTTTAATCCCACTTTGTTTGTCATATCGAATTCTGAAAGTTTTCTGGCATTATTGATGTATGTGGATGATATTATGCTTGTTAGCAACAAAGATTCTGCAATATTAGATATCAAACAATTGCTAGCTAAATAATTCAAGATTAAAAACTTGGAGAAATTGCATTATTTTTTGGGATTAGAAGTTGCTAGAGCTAAAGAAGGTATCTCTGTTTCATAGAGGAAGTACACATTGGAATTACTTGAAGAGTTTGGTTTTATTGGTTGTAACTAGTACCAACACCAATGGAGCTTAGTCTCAAGTTGAGCCAGGAGTCTGGTGAACTGATTCATGATCCGTCTCATCACCGGAAGCACATTGGTAAGTTGTTTTACTTGATTATAACTTGTCTGGATATATGCTTTGCAGTCAACAAGCTCAGTCAGTACATCAATTCTCCACGAGAGCCACATCTTGTTGATGCACATAGGATTTTAAGATATTTGAAAAATCATCCAGGCTAAGCCTTGTTTTACCCTGCCAAATCTTCTCTTACTCTTCGTGCCTTTGTTGATGCTGATCGGGGCAATTGTCTGGAGACTAGCAGGTCTATCTCTGGATTTTATGTTTTTTTTGGTGTTTCATTGATCTCCTGGAAATCGCAGAAGCAAGATATCGTTAGCCGCAATTCTGCTAAAGTTGAATATAGGAGTATGGATAATGCTACATGGGAATTGGTTTGGATACTCTTTGCTTGAAGATTTGGAGGTTTCATTGGCTGACACCATTGTGCTTTACTACGACAATCAGGCTGCCTTACACATTGCCAAGAACTTTGTTTATCACGAGAGTACTAAACATATTGAGTGTGACATTCATGTTGTTCGGAAACGTGTGGCATCTGGTTTTCTGAAGACTTTTTTATTTTAAATTTAATATTAAATTATATTTAAAAAAATAAACGTTTTCGCATCGTAGATTGAAATAATACGGCTGAAAAAATTTAAATCGCTCTAGAAAAGATTTGTAGACTTAACCACGTGCTTTAAGCTAGAGTTAATAGGCTGCCTCGTTTGAAGACTTTTCATGTTGGCACTCAACACCAGTTGGCTGATATGCTCACTAAGCCACTCACAACGCTTCAGTTCAATCATTTATTGTCCAAGATGAGACTCCATCACATGTACTCTCCATCTTAAAGAGGAATATCAGATTATATATTAGTTTAATGTCTCGGTTTACTAATTTGAACTTGGTTTATATGTTTGTATTATTTAAGGAACAAATCTTGTTTATTTAACACTTAATGAAGCATAATTCTAAACAAAGGAAAAGTTTGTTAGATCTGAAACTCTTTGATCTTGATCCATCACAACACTTGCTTGATGATGGTCATGGTTGTAAACATGCATGGGGCATGGCCATGAACATGGAAATCTTCATCATGTGGCTTTTGTAAGAATATCGAGTTGAAACGCGTGTCGTGTTGTGTCGTATGACTCGTATCGTATGGGTTTCTTTCAAAAAGATAGAAATAATGATAGCATTATGTTACACTTAATTATAATCATATTTAATTTAGAAAAATGACTTCAGATGATATAATAATTTTTTTTTTTGAAAGTTTATTTTAAAAAACTTTAGTTCAGTTTTAATATATATATATAATTTCAATTGTTTGAAAAATAGAAGGATGTTTGAGATGAGATTAATTTTTTTTTTTTATGTCTAACCATGAAATTATGGGAATTATAGTTTAATTGCAGTAAATACGATTTCAAAAAATTCAATATTTGTCGCTTATTTAAAATGCTGAGATAAGAAAAGTTGTTGGGTTTTTATTTACTATGGACAACAGAAAGAGGAAAAAAAAAACAAGTCCATTCTACCAAATTAAGTCGGTCTGACAAATGATTATGGATCAAACTTTGTAAATCCAATTAGTAAAGGCCCATTAGAAAAGCCGGAAAAAAAGAATGGTAGAAAGTTCCATAAGAAGTGAATGGAGTCGATGATTCGTAAGAAGTGATAAATAGAAAAGAAAGCATAAGAAAAATAGAAGGATGTTTGAGATGAGATTAATTTTTTTTTTTTAAGTCTAACCATGAAATTATGGGGATTATAATTTAATTGCAGTAAATACGATTTCAAAAAATTCAATATTTGTCGCTTATTTAAAATGCTGAGATAAGAAAAGTTGTTGGGTTTTTGTTTACTATGGACAACAGAAAGAAGGGAAAAAAAAACAAGTCCATTCTACCAAATTAAGTCGGTCTGGCAAATGATTATGGATCAAACTTTGTAAATCCAATTAGTAAAGGCCCATTAGAAAAGCGGGAACAGATAAATGCTCGCCTAGGTTAGGAATCAGCTTCGGCTGTCAAGAGGGGATTTTCCAGTTTCCTTGTATCGTCGATGTCTAAGCTCCAAGTCGGTCTTTCTAAACGTTACGGCGGTTCTTGCGGCGGAAGAAAACCTTCTCATATTATATAAAATATAAAATGCTGAGATAAGAAAAGTTGTTGGGTTTTTGTTTATTACCCTAATCCCTATCTTTCTCTCCGAGCCCAAAGTAGGGTTTTTTTTTTCCTGAATATCGTTGCTTACTCCATTCAGATGGATCATCTGAATGGAGATGAGTTATGATGTTCGTTTATAACAATTTTACAGAGCAGTGAGATGAACCAGTTGGATGATTTTTATTAAACTCATCCAAAAAATGATCATTTTCCGACTGAGTCTGATTGGAGCAGTTGACTGGAGCTATTCAGTCTAAAATATAAAATGACCTAAATACCCCTATCTCATCATTCTAACCACGACAAAGACTCAGAGAGCCATCCTTCGACAAAGTGAGAAGAGAAACGAGATCTTCGTCGGATCTCTTCGCAGCTGGATTTCTCCGCCGGATCTCTTCGCAGCTGGATTTCTCCGCCGGATCTCTCGCCGGAATCCACTCCTCTTTGATCTTCTCCCTCCACTCCACTCGTCTTTGATCTCTCCGCCGGCTGTCTTCTTCTCTCTCGTGCGTGGGTTTGAATTAGCTGCGACCATTGTTTGAGAGGTAAGACTCATGGGTTTGATTATTGGATTTGATTAGGTAAGCAACGGAAAATCTGATTTTTTTTTTTTTTTTTTTTTGGCATGTTTTAGTGCTTGTATAGAGAACATGGCGGCAGGTGAAATAATCACTGAGCAGCCTCCAGAAAGCATAGTAGGATTGATCGAGAAAATGGCATATGTGGTTGCACTAAGGGGGCCGGAGTTTGAGAAGGAGATGATAATCGTTAATAGGGGAGATACAACTTTCAGCTTTATGAGTAGCTCAGACCCTAATCACGCTTTGTACCAGCAAAAGCTTACTGAATATCAAGGAGGTAAACCTCCGGATTTCCAACCTAATACTCCAGCTACTCGTGAGCCTAAGGGCAAAGCACAATCCTATGATCTTGAGCCTCCTCCCTCAAAGGAGCCTCGATATACCGAGATCTCACGCAGGGAGAAGGAGCTTTGTACTATTAAGCTCATTGCGCAGTTTGTGGCGCGGTATGGGAAGCTTTTTCATGAGGATTTGAAGCGTGTAGGTGTTATGAGCCCTATGTTTGACTTTATTAAGCCAACTAATAGCAACTTCGGTCTTTATAATGCCCTCGTTACTTCGTATTCACGAGTATTAAAACCTTCCCTTGGTTCTCCCTTCTTTCTTGATCGTATTTTCGACCATCTTCAATTGGAGAAGCTGGAGGAGGGAAGTGAGACTGCTATGATTGATTTGTTTGATTTTGTGGGTGGTGTTGACTTTTTTGCTCACATGGACGATGCTCACTATCCTGCTATCCTACCACCACCTCAACCCTTTTCAATGATAACGCACTTGTCTGATTTGCAAGCTGATGATTCAGCTATTCATGAGTGTGTAGGCCATGCAGAAACCAGTCTTGGGCCTCCTACTATAAGGATCACACCCAAGGAGTTCGGTGTTATTAAGCTCACAGCGTTGTTTGTGGCGCGGTATCGGATGCCTTTTCGTCGGGCTTTGATGATGAGAGTGGCTATGAACCCTCTGTTTGAGTTTATGTTCTTTCTCCCGTCTTCTCTGAAGAAAAGACTACTGTTTACGGACTGCCCTTCTCTGACGAAGAGAGTACTGTTTACGGACCCTTCGTTTGGGTTTGTGGAGCCAACCGAGATCAGGTTCAATATTTTCAATTTGCTTGTTGATGCGTATTCCAGAGTATTATTCCCTTGCAAAAAGCTGAAGAAGAGTGATGCTTGTACGAGGGCCGTTGTTGATTTTTTTCTCAAACTCCTTCACTTGGAGAGGCTGGAGGAGGGAGTGGCGGCTGCTGTGATCGATTTGCATGCTTTTGTGGGTGGTGTTGACCGTTTTGCTCACCTTGATGATGAAGATTATTCTGCTTCCATGCCACCACCTGAACGCCTTTCAGTGATGATGAACCGGGTAACACTATCTGAGCCTGATATGCTTTTGCAGCTTCCATTGGGATCTCAGCTTGCTAGTGTTCGTAAGCAATACAAATGTGTAGGCGATATCGATTCTTTAAGGGCTCCTACTCTAAGAAGCGTAACATTTAGAGTCCCTGGAAAGGGGATCACACTCAAGGAGCTTGGTATTATTAAGCTCACAGCGCAGTTTGTGGTGCGGTATGGGTATGATTTTTGGTGTGTTTTAACGGATAGAGTGTCTACGAACTCATTTTTTCAGTTCTTGAATCCTTTCGATAAGCAGTTCCGTTTTTACTGTGGGCTTTTACTTGCGTACACCGGAGTGCTAAAACCTTCTAAAATGCTGAAGAAGCCTGATGCTTGTACGGTGGCTTTACTTGAGGGGTTTTTCCACCGACTTCAACTGTGGAAGCTGGAGGAGGGAGTGGAAACGGCTATGATTGATTTGCATGCTTTTGTGTGTGGGGTTGACTGTTTTGCTCACATGGAGGATGGCGACTATTTTGCTATAATGGATCCACCTGAACGCCCTTCAATAATGATTAACCAGCTAATACAAATACATACTTCACTGGGATCTCGGCTTACTGGATACCATGCTCAGAATCAGGGTGGAACTCAGGATATCCGACCTGATGCTCCAGCTACTCATGAGTGTGACAGTGATGCACAACGCGATCTTGAGTTTCATTCTGCCTGGGAGAAGCGTATAGTACGTAGCTATCATTATCCCTATGTATATGGTGGCGGGATAACACTCGAGGAGCTTGGTATTATGAAGTTCACAGCTCTGTTTGTGGCGCGCTATGGGATGCATTTTTGTCAAGAATTGATGAAGGAAGTTGTTATGAAACCTCAGTTTAAGTTTATGGAGCCAACTAATCAGAAGTTCAGTTTGTATAATGTGGTTGTCGATGCGTATTCCAGAGTAGTATACCCTTTTGATGATGCTTGTACGGAGACAGTTCTTGAGGATTTTTTTCGCCGTCTTCAACTGGAGAAGCTGGCGGTGGAAGAAGAAGCTATGATTGATTTGCATGCTTTTGTGAGTGGTGTTGACTATTTTGCTGACTTGGAAGATGTTGACTATTTTGCTGACTTGGAAGATGTTGACTATTATGCTTTAATGCCACCACCTGAACTCCTTTCAATTATCATGAACCGGATGCGTGGTATGCGTAAGTGGCTTCCACTGGAATATCGCCGTATGTATCCTCCTATTCCTTATACTCATGGTCAGTGTGCAGACAGTTGGTATCGTCATTGTCTGTGTACTCATGGGTTTGCAGACCCTTCAACGTGGTTGATGCAAACTGCAGGACCCAAGGAACCAGAGACAAAGAGACAAAAGTTTGACGAGTCAGCTCTTGTTCCAGAAGACCAGTTTCTTGCTAAAAACCCGGTAATGTCTTCTTCAGATGCGTACCGTGTATATCTATTTTTTCCTTCCGTCTGACTTGACGTGTATCTAATTAGCAATCATACATTTTCAGGGTCCCTCTAGGATCAGGGTTGTTGTTGCAGACTCTGATAATGGAGCCATCGAGATCACAGTGAAGTCGTTATCGGAAAAAGTGGCAAGTTTGAAGAAGAAAATAGCTAGGGAGATCCGAATTCCAGCAAACAAACAGATGTTAAGTGGAAAAGCCCGGGTTTTAAAGGACAACAGGTCACTTGCACATTACAATGTTGGAGCAGGAGAAATCCTAACAGTGTCTCGGTGAGAAGGCTTTGTGTACAGGGGAAATGCTTTTGTTTAAGTCTTTAATTAATTTGGCTTAAGTTTTTTTTGGATTGGCTTAAGTCAAACATTTATTAATTAAAGTTAAGTTTATATATAGAAAATACAAGATGGTGTCAAAAAATTGCATGATTTAAACAAACTTTGCAGCAGATGCATAAGAAATTTGAGGTTCTTTTGTTTTATTCATTTTGTTGTCTCCGTCGTAACATCATGCTGATATGCTTCAGCAACTAATAGCTAGCTCCTTCGGATCCACGCTTAAGGTTTATTGACTTCCATTTAACAAAAAATTAGCACCTGAGTTTCGATTGTTTGTTTGTATTAGCGCTTTGCTTAACACTTAAGAATGTGTTATCATTCATAAGAAACAATAATTAATTTGTTATAGTTAGAATTCCTTCGTAAATTATAAGAAAAAAACATTAACTGTAACAGAAGTTGATAATAAGAATACAGTTATGTTTCTGCAACAATAAGTTGGTTAATGAAAAAGGATTATGTAATAGTACAGCAGAATTGATACCACAAATAACTCTCCTGCATTGCGTTTGAGGATGGTTTTGGTTTGATAATTGGAGTTACTGTCATTCTTGAAAACAGAATGACATTCATACACTTAAGTCATTTTTCGATTAGAGCCAAAGAAACCAGATAGGCTGGAATAACCCAAGGGATCAAGATAGTTCGAGAAATATCAGATCAGAAGTCTGGTTTAAGGGGATTTTGGCATAAGCAAGGATTTTCTAAAGAATGGGTTGAAACTTCAATGCCCAATTTGTGCAGAGTAACCCACAAACTTGAAACCAATTTTAACACAAAACTACAGCGTTCAGAAATCAATTGAAAATTTGCTTGAAGCCACAGATTTTACTCTTGGGCTTAGATCTCTACGAACTTGTTTATGTTTGTTCCACAAACATATGCATTGGCATTTTAATTCTTTTGTTTATGGAACTGTTTTCTCTGCGCAGCTTCACGGAAGATTACTACAGGCATCAACACTTCTACTGACTTGTTCATTTCGGTTTCTGTTGCTTCCATGAGTTTTTTTACGGGAATAATAGCTCTCTTATTCGTCCCTCTGCATTGTCTTCTGATGTTGCCTGCAAGAGTTTTCAGAGGCTTCAAATGTTGTAATACCGTCATTTATTCTGTCCACACTGTTTCATAGATATCATGGATCAGGAACAAAATCTAAAAGACCGAAGGAAAGAACCGATGTACCCTTGTCAAGAATGCAAACCGAAATGACTCAATTTTTGCTCCTGCGCAAAGCCTGAGGTCAAAACCTAGGGAATCTACCCCAATCAGCTTCACTTCCTACAGCCAAAAAAGAATTACGGTCGATCATATATTCGTACACAACCAAAACCTACAGAAATATCCTGTTGAATACCAGTTCATTACTAGAGCTTCTAGAGTTAAGTTGCAGCTGTTTACCTCTGCTTGAATACCATTATGTCTCCAACACAGAGATTTGAGGGCTTCAGTTACTTTATCACCAGATTCTTCTAAACGGCTTATGATTCCAGCTGATGCATGAGCAATAACATCAGGTTGTGCTTTTCTGACATCTTCCACCTCAACTTCAGTCTGTTCCCAAAAGTTAAAAAGACACTAGTAAGCATAAGCTTGCAACAAAAAGAAGAATCTATAATAAGCTGAATTCTTATCACCTCCAGCTTGTGGTGTAATAAGCTGAATTCTTATCATCTCCAGCTTGTAAAATGCCACCACAGTTCTTTCTTTTTCACCCTGCGATGAATCTATGTCAGATTCTTCACCACATGCCTTACTAATGTCTGCAAGCTTTTCTTCTAAGTTTTCTGCATCCTTGTTTCTGTTCGTACTTGTAGAATTGTTATCAGCAAGTTTCCTTTGGATATCTGAATAATCTTCCACTAAGATATGACTCAGAATTCCCTGGATAGCAAGGCCAGCAGACGGCTGATCCATCCAATCAACAAGATCATCTGAAGCAACCTAAATTTGACAACCAACAAATGTCTTAAAAGTTAACCTCAGTCATTCTCTTTTAGCCTCAGGTTTGAAAATGATCTTGCATATCGTTTTTATAAAGAATCACAACACATTTTTTTATGAATTTAAGGCTAAAAGTCAACCTCAGTCATTCTCTTTAAAAAAAAAAACATGGGATGGCAACTCCTCATTGTTTCCAAATTTGCCCAGTCTGCCAGCGATTCATCATCATCATCATCATCATCATCATCATCCTCTAGAACAGCAACCCATTCCTGAAGTCAAGAAAACGGTTGCTAGTGAAGCATGCTAAGACATGGCAAAAGTATTCCTCTTATAGAGTTCTTTAGTGACTCAGTATAAAAGATGAAATAAAAATTTTTGTTAAACCTCCTCATATTCGTCTTCTCCTGTATCCTCACTGTCATCTTCTCCACTTTCATCATCTTCAGTTTCAAAGTCACTATCAGAAAGACCCATCAGCTCCATTTCCTTGATCATCTCCATCGTATCAAAACCTACTATAACTTGCTGCAATGCATCCACAACGTCGTAAAGGTTAGTACAGAATAAGTTAGAGAAAAAACTACACAGAGCAGTATAGTCAGTTATAATCAAGAGAAACATATTGAAGCTAGAAGGCCCATATTGATGCATCCATGTGCGTTTTGATTTAAAATAATGGTGATTAACAAAAAAAGAAAAGGTCACAAGATGGATGTTTTAGCTACTATAACAGAAAAAATAACAGATCCCTCATCAGACAAAGCTTGGATTCGAAACACTTGGTACATTCCCCATTTGGCTATACGTATAATGTAAATAGGATATACTCACGTCTGAACCAACCCGCAAGGACATTTGTACGTAACTTCCCGGGAAGGCAAACATTTTTGTGTCTGTCTCTTTTGCCGATTTCTACCTCTATCAAACACTGTTCCCTTGGTGCACTTTGTATCCATTGTGACTTCTACTTCCAGTAATATGCTCAAGCACTGCTAGAATCTGTCTATATGTTTCTTGAGACACATTCTGCTTCATGTCAAATTCGATTTTCGCAAGCTTGGTGACTTCATGCTGCGCCATTTCTGCCTTGTTTCTTTGTTGTTCCCAAGCTGAATATGCATAATTTTCATCACTAAAGGTTGATTACAACACTGTCCCAACAAAACTCCCAAGTCTGAAACTGTTTGCAATTGCTTAGATTTCCTCCATATGTGCTTTACGTGAGACATCTCATCACCAGAAATAATCTGTTTGATTCTTCTTGATTCATGTCTGTCGTTGCACAACATGTGCTCTTGAATCGACATCATTACGCGAGACATTGCTGCTTTCAACTGCTCAAAATTCGGGTGCAAGTCAGCTCCATACAGCTGAACATTGATTCTCATTCTATCCCGAAAGAATAGTATAATGTCTGTACACTCCCAAGTGTCGGTTAATACTCAAAGAGTATGAGGGACAGTGATTTCCCGTTCAGCCTTTGATAGTCTTTCCGAGTAACAGCAGGAAAATCTTATCTCAATTTGATTGTCATTGATATCTGTGGATATGTGAGACAACGAAACAAATTTGTCAACCAGATGCAACAACCGCAGGTCAGCAATTCTCCTACAATGCACTCTGCTGCTCAGATTTATGTAAAATACCGAAACTACGGACTTGTAGTTGTCCTCACACATCCAAAGCATCAGCCAACTTTGTCGAATTACCAAACTGTATTGGAACAGCAGCTTCCTAGACATCTTGTTGAAATATCTGTCCCTGTTTAATATTTCCTTGAACAGCCAGATCAAACCACTTAAGTTTGGGAAGGATAAGCAATTTTGCACCCTTGTTCTTCTCCCCCAACTCACTACATCACTCTCAGTATTGAACCAGTCTTGATTCTTCTGTATAGTTTGTCTTTTCTCCTCGGATGTGTATATGAACTTCCTCCTCGGATATAGTTGGTGGAGCTCCATGAACGCAGACGTATGACAAAGTTTCAAAGTAGAATCTTGACCAGCTCAGATTTGGTTCTGCTGCGCCAATCAATTTTGTCCCTGGAATCAAAGTTGTTTTCGAGTCTAGAAGCAACTATTCTTCGTCATTCCCAAAACCGCAACAATAATGCATCCCTCATCAACTCGTCCCAGCCTCGATGAAGATTCAATTTCTGCAATTCTGAGAAATGATGCGGAACAAATCGATCGATCTTCCATCCATGGATTTCAAAACGGTCACCGGAAAGCACAAGAATCTCCTCGACCCACCAATTTGATAACTATAAATCTAAATATTTCTTATCAAAAATCCGATTACAAAACAACAGAGTATCTCTACTTGTACAAACCTCCTAATCTTCACTAGAAGACTCTTCTCTTCTTCTAAAATTAGCTCCCATGGGCTTATCAGCATCACGCGAGTAGAAACAGCCATGATATCAAATGCAATGCCGGCCTTGGGGTGATGAAATCTTCAGCAAAATTTGTCCCATGTTTGAATTTGAATTTCTGTTTTCGTTTTGTGCTCAAATCATTCTGATAGAAACAGAAAATTCAAGTGAAAACAATAGATTTTTTTTGTTTGTGTGCAAAATGAGTCAGAACAATAGATAGATCTCGAAATCAAAAGAAAAGATCAGAGCTCGATCGATGAAGATGATTTGTTGATATCTTCGAATCAAGTCGAAGAAGATGAAAAATTCAATCAGATTTGAGGAAACAAACGGAGGAAGATCATCTGAGCAAACAAATATGAAATACAGAAAATAGTAGTACTCCGTAATAGATTTTCATTTTCTTGAAATACTAAATCAAATGCAATAACCAAAATAAACCACAAAATAACTAAACCAAACTATATTAACCAAACCAAAAGAATTTCATAAATTATTCTATTTACTTTGTCATACATACATCTGAATTTTGCTAAGTACTAAAAAGTATAAGCTAGTTTACTTTCCCAATTGTCTCATATACAGTTAAACCTCTATAAATTAATACTCGATAAATTAATAAACAATATAAAATAATAAATTTTGTTGGTCTCAAATCGGGCCAGTGTAAGAAATTAACGAAATTCGTAGAGAGAGACTCATGCTCCTAGTTATCTTTCACAGTATCATAGCTCTCTTTATTACAAAACAAAAAAAAAAAAAAAAAAAAAAAAAAAAGCCTTCTCCTTCTCTTCATGGTACTGCTCATCTTCTCTCTGCTTATTTATCTTACGATAAACTCTTTCATAAATATCGTCTGTTCTGTTTGGCCATTCTTGCTGAGAAAGAACCAACTCACATAAAGAGATAGTCTTGTTGCGACATTGGCTTGATGCAATTAACATGGAATTGGATGCTCTTGTGAGTACATCTACTTGGAGAAGTTTCTCTTTGCCTGATGGAAAACATGCGTTGGATGTAAATAAATGTATAGATCAAGTATAAGTCTGATGGGTTTATTGAGCGATACAAGGCTCGCTTCGTTGCAAAAGGTTATACACAACAAGAAGGAGTTGATTGTCTTGATATTTTTGTCATGTGGCTAAGCTCACTTCCGTAAGGTTAATGCTTGTTTTACCTACTATTCATAATTGGATGTCACCAATGCATTTCCCCATGGTGATATGGATGAGGAGGTCTTTATGCATTTACCACAAGGATATACTCCAAGACATTGGATATTTTACCATGAAAACATGTGTGTCGACTCATCAAGTCTGATATGAGTCAAATTACCCTATTGACTACTCTCTCAAATGAAGTTTTCTGGGGTGATTCTGCAAATCTTCAAAGATACGTGAAATTAATTTGCCGTCAGATATCGGTGTCGACCGATAACAGGGGTGTATCGATCGACACCCAGTCAAATTTTGATCTCTGCATTGCTCTTGTAGCATAATTTCTTGGTTTTGCTCCATAATGAACCACAATCTCCAAATTGGTCTCGTACGTGCATTAACCTTGAAAGACTAGAAAATACTCTAGAAATAACAAAAAGACTCTAAAAACAATACATATATCATGGTTAAAAACCGTAAAAACCATGATATATCAAAGTCTCTTTATGGCCTTGAACAAGGTTCATGCAAATGGTTTTAAGTTCTCTCGTGTTCTCTTACAGAATGGGTTTATTCAGTCTCCTTTTAATCCCACTTTGTTTGTCATATCGAATTCTGAAAGTTTTCTGGCATTATTGATGTATGTGGATGATATTATGCTTGTTAGCAACAAAGATTCTGCAATATTAGATATCAAACAATTGCTAGCTAAATAATTCAAGATTAAAAACTTGGAGAAATTGCATTATTTTTTGGGATTAGAAGTTGCTAGAGCTAAAGAAGGTATATCTGTTTCATAGAGGAAGTACACATTGGAATTACTTGAAGAGTTTGGTTTTATTGGTTGTAACTAGTACCAACACCCACTACAAGAAATATCGACATTATTAGCAAGAGAGAAAAGCTATTATATGTCATCAATAGCGTTTTCATAAACGCTGTCTTATGCCCCTGTTATGGTAGACCCCCCATGTACGATAGCGTTTTTTCCGTATGTTATGATAGAGTATTCTACCATAGCGTTAGTTAAACGCTTTGATATAACGACTTTAAATTTTGTTTTTTTATGTAATAAATCATTTTTCGTGCTATTATAGATGCTTTCTACCATAGCATTATTAAAATGCTTTAATTTGTTTTATGTCGCCTTTTATGCGGTAATATATTATATTCAATTAAAATATTTGAAATCCAATTAATTACCAATTTATTAAAAGCATGTTTCTTTCCATAGATCATCAAAAGATACATAGTTTATAACTCAACACCATTTGTTAAAACAAGGTCTTAAACAACATCATAAGTACTGCAATTCAGATGGACTTAATAACGAAGAACTCCATTGGTTTGCTCTTTCTCTCCCTCCAAGAACGTAGGTTGATGTCCACACTTCGCTGCCTTCTCCATATCCTCTGCAGTTTGGTTCTTTTCTTTGTTATTGGTTGTCTCTGTATAAGTAAAGCAAGTGAGACTACATAGAAGAAATCAAAGACTAACTACATAAAAGAAATCAAATCAACCTTTGGTCTTCGTTTAGTCTCCAAAGAACACAATAATCCCAAGCTCTTGAACCCACAAGAGGTCTCAATTTCTCAAACAAGTTTTGCATATTACTCTCCAGTAGTCTCTCAAAATGATTACTGCATATATTAAACAAAACCTTTTACTGACAAAAGAACAAAAACTATTGCCCCAATATTTAATGGATTTTTGTTAGTAACAAAGAAAAGATTAGACATGGCATAAAGAATTAGAGAGACACAATGTATCATTTCTCATGAGATAGAGCTAAAATATCATGAAAAGTTTATGCCAACAAGAACTTACCCAAGATTTTCGGAAGGAAGAAAGCTCCTCAAAAATCTTGTGACTTGTGAAAACTTGACAGGAGAAAGCCAAGAAGAGCTAGCAGCAAAAGAAAAAAAGAAGAAGAAGAAAAAAAATCAATAATATGTAGCATCTATCTTTTACTGTATGCAATCTGGATAAACAAAAGAACAAGAAACAAACACACACATTTCAGATTTTATCAAATAAACAGACCAAAACTGAAGAAAGATGAAGTGTATTTGCAGCATTAACCTGTTTTCCATCTTTGCGAAAGGAATTTATACTTACCAGAGCAAAGAGACAATGTGAAACACAATTTTACGAGAAGGACCATGCTTCCTTTTGTCTCTTCTTTCATTCCTACAATCAACGTTAACACCCATGTTGTTAAAAACAGATCAAAGATGAAATAGGTTCTTGAATTATGATTTACGTAATAATAAATGTTGATGATAAGAATGGAGATTTTACTTACTTTTCTCTATTGCTAATCCATTGTTCCTCAAAATATCTTAGAGATTGTTACCACAGATGTGATTGCTAAATACACAGATGATTAGATTATACATATATATCACGTAAAAGACGAGAAACCAATCTAAACAAGATTAAGTTGTGTTGTTGGTAAGAAATGAGAAATCGAGAGATGGGAATAAGCATGAATGACATCCATTTGGTCTTCTTTACTCTTACCTCTTTCTATACCCTACAACAACAATGAGAAAACCTAATTAAAAACTTCAATTACAGAAACCACAACACAAACCACAAAATCACATAGGATCGTAATACTCTACACTCACTCTATCCGTCTCCTTTGAAACTTCTGATTCATCTCCTTCTCGTTTGAAGATTTTCAAAAATCTTATCAATAAGAAGCTCAAGAATCTCGTCATCGTCGGCTTCACCACTCGCCTTCTCATCAATTGATTTTGTTTCAGAATTCGGCTTGTAATAGCTCAAGATCCTCCTCCTCCGCCACGATTCCTCCATTTTCAACACTCTGAAACATCATATTGTGAGCCAAATCTAATCCCATAAGCTCCACCTATAGCAAAATCGTGAGGTAGCCATGGATTCTGAAATCGAAGTTGAGGAGTTCTCTCTTTTGTTTGAATTCGTCTTAAACTTCTCCATAACTCGAACCACAAGGGAATCTAGATCTATAGATGGAGAAACCAACAGACCCAACTCAGGATGAAGGAGATTTGACCTCGAATCAGACCAAATCGGAGAAGACGATGAGGAGAAGATGGATTTCAAATTTTGGACTCGTCATCGACGAAGACAAGAGGAAGATTAGAGAGTGTGAAATTGTTTTTGAAGATAGAGAAAAGAGGGATTTAGGGTTGAAGGTGAGACGTGAGAGGGCCTTAATTTTTTTCTTTATAAAGAAAGAAAATAATTAGAATTCTTCTGGTGTTCAAAAAAAAAAATTGAAATTCTTTAAAAACTGGGTTGCTAAGTGTAATATTTTTGACTAAGTGTTGCCGCTAATAGTGATTTTAGGTTTGTCCGCTGAAATTTAGTTTCCCTCTTACTCATTTTCGTGGTTAGCATTTTTGAAGTGCTATCATATGATAATCTCATTCAATATTTCATTTTTAATAACAGTTACGGAAAATGAGCTATTACAATGTGCTATCAATGCTCATATTTCTTGTAGTGACCAATGGAGCTTAGTCTCAAGTTGAGCCAGGAGTCTGGTGAACTGATTCATGATCCGTCTCATCACCGGAAGCACATTGGTAAGTTGTTTTACTTGATTATAACTTGTCTGGATATATGCTTTGCAGTCAACAAGCTCAGTCAGTACATCAATTCTCCACGAGAGCCACATCTTGTTGATGCACATAGGATTTTAAGATATTTGAAAAATCATCCAGGCTAAGCCTTGTTTTACCCTGCCAAATCTTCTCTTACTCTTCGTGCCTTTGTTGATGCTGATCGGGGCAATTGTCTGGAGACTAGCAGGTCTATCTCTGGATTTTATGTTTTTTTTGGTGTTTCATTGATCTCCTGGAAATCGCAGAAGCAAGATATCGTTAGCCGCAATTCTGCTAAAGTTGAATATAGGAGTATGGATAATGCTACATGGGAATTGGTTTGGATACTCTTTGCTTGAAGATTTGGAGGTTTCATTGGCTGACACCATTGTGCTTTACTACGACAATCAGGCTGCCTTACACATTGCCAAGAACTTTGTTTATCACGAGAGTACTAAACATATTGAGTGTGACATTCATGTTGTTCGGAAACATGTGGCATCTGGTTTTCTGAAGACTTTTTTATTTTAAATTTAATATTAAATTATATTAAAAAAAATAAACGTTTTCGCATCGTAGATTGAAATAATACGGCCGGAAAAATTTAAATCGCTCTAGAAAAGATTTGTAGATTTAACCACGTGCTTTAAGCTAGAGTTGATAGGCTGCCTCGTTTGAAGACTTTTCATGTTGGCACTCAACACCAGTTGGCTGATATGCTCACTAAGCCACTCACAACGCTTCAGTTCAATCATTTATTGTCCAAGATGAGACTCCATCACATGTACTCTCCATCTTAAAGAGGAATATCAGATTATATATTAGTTTAATGTCTCGGTTTACTAATTTGAACTTGGTTTATATGTTTGTATTATTTAAGGAACAAATCTTGTTTATTTAACACTTAATGAAGCATAATTCTAAACAAAGGAAAAGTTTGTTAGATCTGAAACTCTTTGATCTTGATCCATCACAACACTTGCTTGATGATGGTCATGGTTGTAAACATGCATGGGGCATGGCCATGAACATGGAAATCTTCATCATGTGGCTTTTGTAAGAATATCGAGTTGAAACGCGTGTCGTGTTGTGTCGTATGACTCGTATCGTATGGGTTTCTTTCAAAAAGATAGAAATAATGAGAGCATGTTGATCTTCAGCGGCCTCTTGGAATTTGAAAAGAAAAACAGGAAGTGTTGTTTTTGAATTATTCATGTCAACATAATACTCGTTTCTAGCAAATAAAGTACATATGTCTTGTCTTGTAGGCTAATTAAGTTTGAGAGATGTTGATGTTCTTTAATCAACAATATATATAATCAAAATTAATTGCATTGAGTCGAACGTAATTAGCATTACACATTAACGTTCTTAATTAACTGGGTTTTCTTGTTAAGCTTTCTTTATACACACATTTGGAAAAATTTCACCATCTCTTTTAGGTTTCGAGTGACACCTTTTGACAAAGTGTCACTTGCTGTTTCAATCTTTGCCAAGGTTAATATTCGTAAAAAAGTATAAATAGACGATCTTCATTAAAATATGCATCTTCATGAAACATATAACACAAGAGTTGAAAATGTGTAGATATATTTAATTACGTGCATGTCTTGTATTGGTGCATGAACCGATCATGAGCCCTTTTTTATTTAAAGCTTTCGGTTTTATGTAGTCCTTACTTTGCTTTTATAACTTTTACTACACTATGCGAACCCTACTTATTTATCTCCGCTGAGAGAAAACGGAGATGTAACAGAATCCTTATCATCAGAAATTAAAAGTGTTTGTTACAACCTAACTTAGTTATCACATTACAACCTAACTTAATTATCACATAATTAAACTTATACAGTACTAGATAAGGCCCGCCTAAATAGGCGGGTGTAAAAAATAAATATAATTTCGTATCAATAATATTTAAATTCTAAATAGTGATCTATATTTTTCTTATTATTTAATTTAATTTTTTGTTTCAAACAAAATTTAAATCTTACACATTCTATTTTGCATACACTTTAACTATTTATTTCAACCAAATTTCAATCATATTTCAATCATACACTTTAACTATTTATTTCATAATAAAAAAGTGCATTTTAATTCTACACACTCCATCTTATCGATGATATTTGAATTCTAAACGGTACCTTGTACACTTTTTCAATATTTAATTTAGTACTTTTATTGAAAAAAAAATTCAAATCTTACACATTCCATTTACATTAATATACAATTTAACTATTATTTAATAATGACAAACTGGATTTTGATTCTACACCCTTCATCTTAATGAATAAATGCTAAAACAATTATATCAAAATAATATGTATTGATCATATCAAATCTATATCTAGATAAGTTAATGAATGGTTATTTATTTATATGTAAGTGAATGATCTTATATATTTTTTTAATTATCTTTTTTAAAAGATATTTTTTTTAATATTTTTAGTTTAATTATTGTATCTTATAATTATTTATTTTGGTTTCTACTTCCAGTTTGAATTATATAAGATTTATCATATATCATAGTTCTAATGATTTTAGATAGCGACATGTGTCATGATTTAAACTATAAATTTACATTATTTATATCAATTTTATTTTCTAATTAGAAGAAATAGGTGATGATTTTAAATAAAGTTTTGTATTGTTTATTTGAAAGTCTTGAATATGTAAGAACTATATATGCTTCTTCTTTGTTTTTGATATTTTAAATTTAATTATACTATTTTAAATTGTTTATTCAAATTTATATGTTCATATTTGAATAATATAAGATTCATATATATATTATAATCGATCCCAACTATTTTTATACGGTCTTTTTCAATCCAAACTCTGATACCCGTCACTAATCAAACCGAACTCACACAATATTTAAATAACAAACCTGAACTATGTGACTTTTAGGGGGGTGTATTGGAACTAGGATTTTAGAAAATTTTGGGTTTTTACTAAAATCACCTGTTATTGAATTTGTGATTTTCAAATCTCTTCTCAAATCCAATGTTATTGAAATTGAGATTTCAATAAAATCACTCACAATCTCTTGTTATTCAAACTATAATTTCTAAACTTGATATCAAATCAACTGTTATTGAAAACACAACTTTGTTTTTTTAAAAAAGCCATAACATTGATTTTGGGAGACTTTGGATACAATTTTACATGAGAAATTCAATTAAAGAAATCACACCTTGAGAGGTGTTATTTGGAAAAAACTTCTTTTAACAAAATAAACATAAGAGAAGTTGTCCTTTCACTTTCTCATTCTCATCGTCAAAAGTCAAAACAAATCTGTCACCTTTTTTTTGTTCTTCACTTGCAGAAAAAAACAAAAGATTTCAATGGCAAATCAAATTCATTACCAACAAAATCTCTCTCAGTTTCAAGTTTTTAATTTGAAGTCCTAATACAAAAACATAAACTTTTTTATAACCACAACACACCATGATTTCTTTATCTTTTACCACAAACAACGTTGAACGTGTTTTGGAACGTGTTGCAGAGAGAATCCAATTTTTCTATTTTTTTGTAAAGCAACGTTGCAAAGAGATCCCAAATTTTCTAGACAATGTTGGAGATAAAAATCTCACCAAATCATCCAATATTATCTCTTAAATCTCACCAAATAACAAACTAGTATTTCCTTTTCTAAAATGAAAATTCTAACAATTCCACCAAAAGTATCCTAAAAAATCACATAACTTTCTCAAAATCCAAAATTTCCAAAATTTCTTGAAAGTCTTGAATATGTAAGAACTATATATGCTTCTTCTTTGTTTTTGATATTTTAAATTTAATTATACTATTTTAAATTGTTTATTCAAATTTATATGTTCATATTTGAATAATATAAGATTCATATATATATTATAATCGATCCCAACTATTTTTATACGGTCTTTTTCAATCCAAACTCTGATACCCGTCACTAATCAAACCGAACTCACACAATATTTAAATAACAAACCTGAACTATGTGACTTTTAGCCAATTTCAACATATCCCCGTTATTTAAAAGTATAGCATAAGTTATTGCTATGGAAAATATTTTTCTTTCGAAATAATTTTTTA